TGTGTGTGTGTGTGTGTGTGTGTGTGTGTGTGTGTGTGTTTGATATAGTTCTTGGATGTGTGGAAAACTGTGAGTAAATAGACACACTTTGTTCTTTTACTATTATATGAAGATTTCTAAATTGTGAATTGCATATAATAAATATATCTTGATCATGGATACCCTCTCTTCTACTCTTTCTTCTTCATTCAGCTAGTTTTGTCGCTGTACTCTAGTCACTCTTCCTTTACTTTCAGGGCATATGTTTTAGCTTGCACTTTTAAAAGAAAGCATATTAGATGCGACTTTATATGTTTAGCTTAATTTGCTTTACACTGTCTTCCACTCCCAATTGTTTTCCTCTAAACCACTGTTTAACTCTTTTTCTTTCCAATTAACACTCCATTTGGTATTAACAACACATATTTATGTATTAAATCATTGGTGGGCATTTTACCGATTTTGTATTTTAGCTTTTGTGAATAATACATTATTGACCATAGGTACAATGTGCTGTGATTTAATTTCCATTTTTGCATATGCTCAGATGGGCTATAGAAATTTTGAATGACAGTTCTATTTTGAAGATTTATTTTTTCAGGAAGGACCATAGTGGCACAACTCATTTATAATTCTAACAATAATTTACTTGCTTCTTTTTTTATCTGTATCCTATTCAGTATTTGCAGGTTTCTTTTTAAATAGAAAACATGAGCTATAGAATCAGATCTGTTTCATACAAATATGGATCATGTTGGTTTATGTGGGTGAACTTGAAAAATCACCATAATTCTTGAACCTAACCAATATTATCCAAAAAACTTAAACAATTATGTCTATAGGTAGGGTTTACAAAATTAATATTACAAACCTGAAACATTTGAAACATTTTTAAACTGTAAAATTCAGTGGCATAAAGAACATCTGCAGAGCTTTGAAATAATCACTGCCATTTATTTTCACACGTTGCAACACTTGGCCATATGCCTGATATGGAATCAACATTCATTCTGGTTTGGAGAATTATGGGCTGTGGAGATGAAATCATAATAATCTGTGCACTTTAATGTTTGTGAGTGGTATCTACATTAAATACTATTTTAATTCTCATATTACATAATGAGTAACTATTTGGATAAAAAGTAACATTAAAACATAAGGAATATTAATAGTAATAACATTGTTATTTAGGGCAATTATGAGATGTTCTCATGTTTAGTTAAGTTTTAACTTAATATCATTAAACATATAATTCTCAGACGATGGTTCTTAACCTTGCTAATGCTGTAAACCTTTATCATATTTCCTCATGTTGTGGTGACCCTAAATATTAAATTATTTTTTCTGCTAATTCATAAATATTATTTTGCTGCTGTTATGAATAATAATGCAAATAACTCATATGGAGGATATCTGATATGTGACCACTGTAAAAGTAGTCACAACCCAAAGGGTAAAAATGACTGTTCTGAGAGATTAATGATTAGAATTGCTACAGATCATATTTTGCCAATACCTGGTAAAAGTCTGATGTAATATTTCTCACTTGGGGCATCTTTATCTCACCAAGATTTGAAAGTTTGAGTCTTAGTAACATCCCATGGATCAGGAGAGTCAGAGACACTATAGGAAATTTTACAATACCCATGAAAGTACCCCATACTTCATGGAAAACCATTCTTTCCTCATGCCAACATAGAAAAATCTTAATGCCATTGATCTGGAGAAATAGTGAATTATTTGAGTTATTTTATGAGCTTGAAAGCAAGATATATCAGGGTCTAGCAAAGGAGAAGCTGGGTTTAACCAATGAAAATAAATGTATCAGAAAACTCCACAGAAGATATCAATTCAATAAGTTCAGGCTTGTAAGAAGCATAATGTTGAGTAATAATATCAAAAAATTTAACTTAGTCTCAGAGAATCCAACATCTATGACACTATGTTCAGGTTTGGATACCTATACAGGTATCATATTTCTAAATTTTGAGTTTACATATAGTAATTCCTTATATAAATATTTATATTTTAGTGAATAATATACTTTAGCAAATTTATATAATATTTAAGTATAAAATGAGTTATTTGCATGTTTATGACATCAGACATATATCGCCATGTGCGTTCTACATAGTTACTTTGAAATGTTCAATAAATATTGTCAACAACTGTAATGCTGATAAACAACATTTGAGAACTTTTCCTTATCTGATCCTCTATACCCATTGTCATCTCTTCATAATAGTATATACCTAACTGAAGTCTTCTTAGCTTACACATATATATCTTTCTTTTCCAAATATAATGTTCTTCAACATTGTATATATGGCCATAAATGAGGAGATTTCATTCATGCATAGTGTGTGTGACGTGGAGGCACACATAAAGTGTGTGTGTGTGTGTGTGAGAGAGAGAGAGAGAGAGAGAGAGAGACAGAGAGAGAGAGACAGAGACAGAGACAGAGAGAGAATGTGTATGATAGAGGACACGCTTGACTGTCTATTCTTATTTTTCATCTTGTTGAAAAAGACAGTCTCTTTGTTATTTTATACTGTGTATCTGGATCCCTGGATTGTGAGCTTCTGGGAATAACTATCTCTGGCTATTATGTCACCAAAGGAGCACTTGGAATCCCACAACTGGAAGTACATATTCAGAATTTGCACAGGTTCTGGCAATTTACCTAACATCATCAAGCTTACCCATGACCAAGTTTCACTCTTTATTAGGTAGTTGAAACACACACACACACACACACACACACACACACACACTTCCCATTTATTTATGCTTAGCATGTCATACACATTTCATATATTCTAAACATGGTTACAATAAAGAAAAGAGTAGATCTGTCTCTTGAACACCAATTTCTTTCTACATACCCCTCATCTTGAGATTGTTCAGCCAGTGATTTTCATGTCTTTTCCCACTAGTGGACTGGTGATATTTACAGTTTATTGAGCATTTGCCACATGACATTTTCCTTTGATTTCATTTTCACAGCAATACTTGTGACCATAGTCTTTGTCAAACATTTTGTGGATGAAGAGAATCATGCCAATTCATTATCTAAGATCACCCTGCTGCATCATAAATAAAGTGGTAACCAATCCTACTCCACTTTTATCCAAAGCTCATGCAAATCATATGCTTTATTATATCTTTTTCTGCTAGAGTATTCCATAGTCTATCTGCCTGGAAAATTTCATCATTTTCAAAACTACCTCCAATGTCTTTCTGCATCCATGTTGGTGGAATTGTTTATTCCATGGTAACCTACCTCAATGTGGACATTGCTGAGGAAATATTTTCCTGAGTCAAATATGAAATTCCTCCTGGCTCTTGATCTTTATACTTGACCATTTTATTGATGCTGTAAATCTATAACAAATAATTTATATCTAGCACTTCTGTTTCATGGTATTCTTATACATCAAGACCTACGTTTATTAAAAAAAAAAACAAAAAAAATTAAGCCGTCAATAATGAATGGTTTACTGATAACTACCTCCGCCATAACTCACATTTCTGAAAACTATGTCTGTACCAGGCTTTCATTTGGGCCTGCAACAGCCCCCCAGATCATGACCCAGAATGATCTACCTTAGCTTAGGGTACTTGCTTGTCAGCTCTTACAGCTCAAACTTTTTTTTTTCATCTGGCTTTTGCCTTAGGACTATTTATCTTTTTATATCTTACTTTTACTGTTTCTCATGTTTTGGCAGTGACTGCCTGGCTTCTGGCCCTGGACATGTTCCTCTTTTTCTCCCTCATTCTCTCCTTCTTCATTTTTCCTGGGTTTCTCTTCCTATTTAATTTCTCTGCCTGCCAGACCTGTATATCCCTCCCCTTCCTAGCCATCCAGCATTCATCTTTTTATTAGACCAATTAGATGACTTAGGCAGGCAAGGAGAAACAAATACAACACATCTTTACATCATTAACAAAGGCAGCAGAAACAAAGGTAATGTACCTTCACATAGTTAAAGAAATATCCAATAGTATAAACAATTGTATCTCATCTTTGCCTAGTTAAAATCATATTCCACAATATATGTCTGCTTTCACTAATTTAATTTGCACAGTGTCTGCATGTTTTGTGCTCCTTAAATTCATGCCATCAATTTTGCTCAGTTATGACTAATGATGAATTTGTTTCCACTATATGTTCTCTTCTAAGAATTTATACACAACTCTTCTCTCTGGTTTATTGATTCACTAGATGCTGCAGAATGTGTTTCTCCTCCCTGACCTCTCCGTTCCTTACCACATCATCCCTTGGATTGAAGTTAGACTAAAGTTCAACACCAAAATACTATTTATAATTTGTACACCAATGTTTTAACAAGAATCAATGGTAACTCTTTCTCAATTTCAGTGTTATACTCTTGTCTGATGCATGGTGTGTGTGTGTGTGTTGTGTGTGTGTGTGTGTGTGTGTGTGCATTCTTATACTGGAGGATACAGTTGTGTAGGTGTGTGCACATGCATAAAGAGGCATGTGTTTAATACTTGAAATCTTCCTCAGTGGTTTCTTTCCTTCTATATTGATGCCTAGTCTCTATACTACAATCAGAGATTGCCAAAATGGCTGATCTGGCTAACCAGCTTGTTTAAGTGAGCTAATATCTTCACCTTCTAAGCAGGGGGATACATTCTAAACAATGGAAGTATAAGCAAGGGGCTTTTACATGGGTTTGGAGACCTGAAGTCTTCACAGTCCCTTTGCTGCTTTTGCAGCATATATTTTAACTACTGATACATCTCCCCAGTTTCAATGGGTAGCATTTTGTTGGAGTGTGGCAAAGGATTTCCTCCACATGTTCTTCCCCCATGTCTGGCAGACATTATTGACAAAACAAGGATCCATTTCTTACTCACTGATTCTATCTGTGGCTGTGTAGACCATCTGAAGTTGGCATTCCAGGAAACCACTAAAACTTGAGGAAAGTGACCGGCCATCTTGGGTTTCTTGATATAAGTCTGACACTCCTTCAGTTACACATTTTACATAAGACATGGGTGATATGAATCAGTCAGAGTCCTCCAACTTCATCCTGGTGAGCCTCTTCAGCAAATCAGGTTCACATGAACTCCTTCTCTGCCTGGTGGCTGCCATGTTTATCATTTGCCTTCTGGGAAACACTGTTTTACTCTTCATGATCTGGTTGGATTCCAGACTCCACACACCAATGTACTACCTGCTGAGTCAGCTTTCCTTCTTAGATGTTTGTTTCCCCATGATCACCATACCCAAGATGGTATCAAAATTCCCTAAGAAAGAGAGCTTGATTTCCTTTGGAGGTTGTGCTGCACAAATATTTTTCCTGACCTTGATAGGTGTGGCTGAAGGAGTCCTGCTGGCTCTCATGTCTTATGACCGCTTTGTGGCAGTGTGCCATCCCCTACAGTACCCTGTACTCATGAGACATCAGATATGCATGTTTATGGTGGCATTTTCCTGGCTAGCAGGTGTGCTCAATGGCTCCATCCAGACTTCCATAACTCTGAATTTTTCCTACTGTGCCTCTCGAGTTGTTGACCACTTTTTCTGTGAGGTTCCAGCCCTGCTGAAACTCTCCTGTTCAGATACCTCCATGTATGAGTTGGCACTATCCATCTCTGGGGTATTGATACTCATGCTCCCCCTGTTGCTAATCATCACCTCATATGGCCAAGTTTTGAGGGCTGTTCTACACATGCATTCTCAGGAAGCCCGGAATAAGGCATTTACTACTTGCTCTTCACACATCACAGTTGTGGGACTCTTTTACGGTGCAGCAGTGTTTATGTATATGGTACCTGGTTCATATCATAGCCCATACCAGGACAACATGATCTCCCTTTTCTATAGCCTCATCACCCCTACTCTTAACCCCCTCATCTACAGTCTGAGGAACAGAGAGGTGCGTATTGCTTTCTTAAAATTGCTTAACAAATTAAAAAGCAGGCAAAATTGATAATTGTATGAGAATTCCAGTGGTGCTTCATCCAAAATGATTTCTAAATTTTTCTATCTCTGGTACAACTGCAACCAATTTATTATCAAAACTAATTGCTGTTTTCCTCAGTCCTATAAATAACTGAGTTCGTTTCCTCTATATTTCTATGGAAAAAAAATAACAATGTCAATCACAAACTTTCTGGTAAAGAAGTGTTTTCACAGATTAAAGGCCGCATTTTGTAAATTTCACACCTTTGAATTGATAATTTGAGCACTAAAAATTAATATACATTGACTAGTGGTTCTCCTGAGTATTTAGTTTGTGTTCATGACAATTTTGAGATTTAGTAACTATTGCAGTTTTGATTTAAGAAATATATAAAGTAATTCCCCAGAGGTAACAAAGGATAAAATATCCTTTAGAGCTTGAATTTGTAATTCTTAAGAGAAAGTAAATCCCACAGTCACTAGAATGATTGATTGACTGTCACAGAGAACTGGTCAGTATAACAAATAAACATTTTTATGTGAGTGTTTACGTGTACAGAGAAGGGCAATGTATGTTAGATATTTTGATTTGTCAATGTTGTCTATCCATCGTACTTTTAAAATAAATTTATATTGGAATTAAAAACAATCTTATTTTACATACCAATCCCAGTTCCCTCTCCCTCCCATCCTCCCATGCCCTGCACCAACCCCCCCCACCCTAACCCCATCCCATCCCCAGGGAGGGGGAGGCCTTCCATGGGAAATCTTCAAATTCTGTCACATTATTTGGGGCAGGGCCTAGGCCTCTGCCATGTATCTAGGCTAAGAGAGTATTCCTCTATAGGGAATTGAAGCTCCAAATGATGCTGTAATGATAAATGGCACACTTACTGAAAGTAAAACTAAGTATTTATTGTAGAAATTACTCACAAGATACCAAAAAAGTAACCCAGATGAGCCCAGTAGTTTTCTGCTGCCGAACCGGAAGCTGAAATCTGGGAAAAGAGACCAAGACTTCCTTTCTGCAGTCTTTTATGCCTTCCCCCCGTAATGCCCCCTAGCCATGCCCAAAAGTGGGCCTGGCTAGTGACGTAGTTCACCACCCTACGTACGTATACGTCTTTAGTCATGCTTAAAGTGGGTGTTGTTAGCGGTGTGGTAAACCACTCTTTTATCACCTCATCTGTATTTGCCTCTAGTAAGTCACATGATTAATGGCAGAATACAGGCTTCCTCCTACAAGAAATGAACTCCCAAAGCTCATTCGTGCCCTAGGGATAAACACTGGTTCCACAGCCAGAGGCCCAATAAACTGCCCAGGCCTCCCACTGACACACATGTTCAGGGGACCTGGTTCAGTCCTACATTAGTTCCTCAGCTATCAGACTGGGTTCCTTGATTTGTTCAGGTCAACTATTTCAGTTGGTTTCCCCAGCATGGTCTTGAACCCTATACTCATCACTCCATCCTCTCTACAACTGGATTCAAGGAACTGGGCTCAGTGCTTAGTTGTGAATCTCTGCTTCTTCTTCCATCACTTACTGGATGAAGGCTCTGTGATGGCATGTAAGGTAGTCATCAATCTTATTATAGAGGAAGGGCATTTAAGGTAGCCTCTTCACTTATGCTTACATTCTTAATTGGGTTCCACCATGAGGCTCCCTGACATTCACCTAGCACCAAATTTCTCTTTAAATCTATAATGGCTCCCTCTGTTAATTATTTTTTAATTATTAAACTGTTGGCCAAAGGCTAGGGGTTCTTATTGGATAGCTCTGTATTAATTATTAACCCATTTCTATTAATCTATGTATTTCCACAAGCTTTTGGTTTACTGGAGAATGTCCAGACCTTCTACTCCTTTGTGGTCTACATGGCAACCATTCTGGCAGGCTCCTTCCAGCTACCTTTCTCAGGTTTCTCCTCATCTCCTAGTCCCTCCTATCTTCCTGCCTCATTGGCCAAGCAGTGTTTTATTCATCAACCAATAAGAGAAACACACATACAGAGGATAAAATCAGTTCAGTGAAAGAAAACTTTCCACACTCTCCAGTTAGAAGTTCTTCTACTATAACTATATATTGTGTCCATGCCTGTGTTGAAGGTTGACTCCACAACATTTGAAATCTGTGCTCATTTATTCATAAGTGACAAGTGCAGTTGATCACTCAAATTTGTAGGTTCTTTCCTGTGGATTTAATGAATGATGAACTGAGACTATCTGAACCATTCTTGCATATCTCAGGTAACTCCCTCTTGGTTGTGGTATATAATCTTTTAAAGTACAATGTTGGATTGGATTTTGTTGACCATTTTTGCATGTATCTTTAGAAGTATTGACCTATAATTTTCTCTTTCAGTGTTTGTCTGGCATCATAAGTAAATTGGGAAATATTACTTCTGCTTGTGTCTCCTGAAAAAGCTGTTACAGAATTGGCATAATTGTTATGATATGGTACAAGAGGGACCTTGGTGGTTGGGAGACAAGAGGCCCCACAGTGGATGAGAGACAGACATGCCATGCAGACAGAGCTCATGTGAGGAGTTTTACTGGGGGAAGGGAATGGAGAGAGGGGAGAGAGGAAGGGAGTGCCTTGCTGAAAGAGGGGGAAGAGAGACAGAGAGAAAGACAGAGAGAGAGATGCTGGTGAAGCAGAGGAAGAGGAAGAGGAGGCAGGGTTCCAAGAGGTGTATTGCACGTGCACAGAGACCACACCTGGGTACTGCCTGCTTACTGAGCATGTGCACAAGGGTGCTGCAATCTGCAAGGTCTCCAGGGGCAGGCTGGGTGTATCTGGATGCTAACAATAATTTCTCTATTAAATGTTTGATAAAATGTATCAATGACCTTGGGAAACTTCATATTATTCACTATTAATTTCATTTATTTTACAAATATGGATATATTAAAATTATTTTCTTCTTCCTATACAAATTTTGGCAGATTGTCTGCCTTTAAAGGAGTTGGTTCACTTCCTCTAGGGGACATATGGACATAGAGTTGAGTACATTAGTATTTTAAAAAAGCTATTCTTTTGAGGAGGCTGAAGAAATATTTCAGTGATTAAGAGAAGTTGTTACTCTTCCAGAGGACCCAGTTTGATTCCCAGTGCCCACAAGAGGTAGGGCTCACAATTATCTTTAACACCAATTGCAGGGGAATCCAATACCCTTTTCTGACCTCTATGAGCACCAGGCACACAAGCAGTACACATGCATTCATGCAGGCAAACACACACTTAAAATGCAAATAAATACTTCTTTAAAATTTTTAAACATTTTTCCTTTGAGGCCAAAGTTTTCTTGTGTCCTTCATGTTGACCTTGAATTCCAGATCCCTCTGCCTCAGCACATGCGTGATGGATGTCTACATGCTACAGATGGGCACCATCATGCCTGGCTCAGGGTTATTATCCTTTGAATGTTCATGGGATCTCTACTGATATCCCTCTTCTCAGTCTTGACCCTGTCAAGTGTGTCATCTCTCTCTTTTCCTCAGGAAACCTAACTGTAACTATTGAGTCTCCTGACTTTCTCAAAGAACTAGCCCATTTGAAAAAAGTCTCTACTTATTTTATTTATTTATTTTTGGTTTTTCGAGACAGGGTTTCTCTGTGTAGCTTTGGAGCCTATCCTGGCACTCGATCTGTAGCCCAGCCTGGCCTTGAACTCACAGAGATCCACCTGCTTCTCTCTCCCAAGTGCTGGGATAAAAGGCGTGTGCCACCAACGCTCAGCTTCAACTTAGCTTTTCAGTTACATTTATCTTTGTCTGTATTTTTTATCATTTCTCTTTTGTTTGCTCTTATTTTTTCAAGTCTCCAGGCAAAAACTTAGATTACTGAATTTATTAAACTTTTTTGTTATTTTGTACTTATTTATTAAAAATACTATTTCATACAATATATTCTAATCATGGTTTCCCTTTCCTCATCTCCCCCCTCATCTTCCGCACTTTCCCACCCAGCCAACTCCATGATTTCTTTTTCTCTGTCTTCAGAAAAATGAACAGGCAACTTAAAAAGAAAAAAGACTTTAAAAAAGTCAAAGAAGTCGGGCAGTGGTGGTGCACGCCTTTAATCCCAGCACTCGGGAGGCAGAGGCAGGCGGATCTCTGTGAGTTCGAGGCAGGGCTGGACCAATAGCCCCCGAAACAATACAGAGAAACCCTGTCTCGTAAACACCAAAAAAAAAAAAGTCAAAGAAAATCATGAGAAACACACACACAAATAAACAGCAAACAACAACAACAAAAAACAAAGCAAAAACCAAAACCAAATCCCCATGAAAACAAAATTGGAAACCATCACATACAAGCAAAAGGTGAATAGTATTAAAAAAAGAAAAAAGCCAAATAAAGCAATATGAGAAAAAAAGTCTCTGAAAATGCTATTGAGTTAATTTTGTGTTGACCATTCTACTGTTGGGCATGGGACTTGTCCTCAAGTTTCTTTAATAGAGAAAACTAGTTTTTCCTTTGCAAGCAGTTGTCAGTTGCAGATAGCTTCTCGGTTAGGGGTGAGAGCTTGTGTTTATTTCCTCACTCAGTCCTAGGATCCTGTCTACCACAGTCTCTGTGAGGTCATATGTGCATCAGTCCTGTTGTGTCTGGAAGACACTGCTTCCTTGGTGTCATTCATCCCCTTGTCTCTTCCAGTCTTTTGTTACATGCTGTATAGTCCCACCAAAGGGCTGCTTTCACCAACTTCCTCAAGTTTTGATAAGTTGCACTTTTATTTTCATTTATTTTAAAATCTTTTAAATGTTCCTTTGAAGCATTTTGCTTTGGACTATTATTACTGTGAACTGTATTCTTCAATCTCAAGGGTTTTGAGATTTTCCAGCTCTCTGTGTAATTCTACTGTGGCCTGAAAGCACGCTGTAAATCCATTAGATTTGTGAAGACCATGCTTTTACATTTTAAGGGTTTGTTTTCTGACTCAGAAGGGGATACACCTTGTTGAATGCTCCATGTTTGAAGAATTTGTGTTTTACTGTTGATGAATGAAATAGCCCACAGGTGAC